GAGCTCAAGGCCAGCCTGAACTGTATAGCAAGACCCTGTTTCAAAAAAGACAACAAAACAAAACATCATATCCTAAGGTTGCCCACATCTCACAGGATGGTGTACAGTAAGGGCTTAGTTTCAATGGAAATGGTACTGAATCTGTGTGTGTATGTACAGGGAACAAAAGGTAGACACAGAGTTGGGTACTAGGACTGTACTATAACTATCAAATGAGATAACACTGCACAAGGAGATCAGAGAAGGCCAGTCACATACTCAACTCAAAAACCACTGCAGAGTACAAAGCACAACAACAAACCTCAAGACTTATTAAGGATGTTTGTTTTAAAGAAAAGAAAATAATCTTAAAACTACACTCTGATCCTACTATGTTTAAAAACCTAGTACCACCCCTAAACAGAAAACACTGTAGATGATTCAGGAAGTTAAGATACTAAAATGCAAAAAAGGAAATACATTTAAGAACAGAAATATAGGCGGGTACAGTGCACACATCTGTAACCCCAGCACTCAGAAGACTGATGTAGCAGGATGGCTGTGAGTTTGAGGCCAGCTTGCACTAAGGCTAGGGTGTACTACACACTGAGACCGAAGAAAGGAAGGAAGGAAGGCAGAGAGAGGACAGGAGAGGACAGGACAGGACAGGAGAGGACAGGAGAGGGGAGGACAGGGGAGGGGAGGACAGGGGAGGGGAGGGAAGGAGGGGGAATGAGGGGGGAGGAAAAGAGAAGAGAAGAGAAGAGAGAGAAGAGAGAAGAGAGGAGAAGAAGGGCTTGATTTAAATGGCAACAAAATTTAAGTCTCAAGGAAAATATCTTACAGAATATGTATAACAGCATAACAAATATATTTTTTTTTGTTAACAGGAATCGAACTCTGGACCTTGTGCTTGCCAGGCAGGCACTTGTGCCCCTGAGCTATATCACCAGCCCACCACAAATATTTCTAAAGGAATTGAGCACCACCTCAAACTGATCTGATTATCTACTGGAACTTGAACCTCAAGAATCACACCACAGTAAACTGTATCTGACGTTCTCTCAATGAACTATTAACCAAGGCCTTTTATTTTTATGTTCAATAACTTGTGCTTCACTATGAGGTGATATGAAGTCATACATCTTCTCAGCCAATGATTAAATTGTAAACAGTAAAATTTTAAAGACAGACTAAATAGTATCCTTAGAAAAGTGGTATAATTTGTTTAAAGTGAATTAATTTTATTTTTTGGGGTATACTGGGAATGGAACTCAGGACTTCGTGCTTGCCAGGCAGGTGCTTTGCTGATGAGCTATATCCCTGAGCAAAGAATTAATTTAATAGTATTTTTATTAACCCAATATATTCAAAATATTATTTTAACATGTAAGAGAAACAGCTGGAGGCTGAGGCAGGAATATTTGCCTGAGCTATATTGTGAGTTCAAGGTCAACCAAAATACAGAGAGGACCTGTCTTGAATGAATGAATGAATGAATGAATGAAAGAGAGAAAGAAAGGGCAAGCAAAGGAGGGAGGGAGGAAATTAATGTATTTTACATTTTTATACCAAGTCTTCAAAATGCAGTGTGTAATTTACAACTACTATATAGCAATCAAAATAGCCTCATTTCAACTGCTCAATAGGACTAGCATGGTAACACAGGAGAGTGAAACATGACAATCCTATTGCAATGTTACTGACAGGTCATTTAGACTAATTTAACTTACTGTAAATGGTAGGCAAATTCCGCAGAGAAACTATAAATTATCACTGTATACCTCTGGCATCTAGAGTACTATAACAGAAATGGGTGTGAGTTAGTGGTTGCTACAACCAAGATCTTTCTGTTGTTTTCTGCAGTACTGGGGACCAAGCCCAGGGGCGCTCTACCATGAACACCATTCCCAGCCTTTTTATATTTTTATTTTGAGACAGGGTCTTGCCAGTTACCCAGTCTGGGTACTTGTGATCCCCACTCCTTGGCCTCCCTCACCTCATAGCTGAATCACTGGCATATGCCACTACACCAAGGCTGTGTTTGAAAATGATCTGTGACAACACCGTATGGACGAAAATGAATTCAGACCAAACAACGGCATAATGATACATGGATTAATTAAGGAAATGTTAACTTTTACAGTGTACACTACCCCCTAGTGGACGTAAGACACCTCTGCTTCAGATGAGGCAGAGATGCCTTTTCCTTCACAAAGAAAAAAAATCAGCAGTGAAAGTTCGTTATTTCACCCAAATCTCTTAAGTTTTGAAAGAGTACACCATATTGTATGAGTGGACTGTCAGAGGAGCAACAAATCAGTCATCAGCTGAATCTCACTGACCCGGAGTTCAGTGACAAGTAAAAAAAGTCATTTTGTATAGAGAGTCAACCAAAAAGTAAAAAACTCACATGAAGAAAAACAGAGGCACTCATACAGTAATACAGGGTCCCCAGCCCCCAGGGCATGGACCAATCATGGACCTCCATGTTTGCCATTGCTCCCCAAGGTTCACATCACTGGCCGAGCTCCACTTCCTGGCAGATCCTCATTGCATGAGATTCCCATAGGGGCGAGGCTCCTACTGAGGACTACACACAGGAGGGATCTAGGCTGCAAACTACTTCAGAGAAGAATCCAATGTAATAATAAAGGGCACAATAAATAAAATAAAAAAATAAAGAGTACACCACATAATCATGTTTAGAAAACCAAAGTAAATTTAGCATTCATTTCATCCTCAAAAAAAGCCTACTGTGCTATATATTCTAAAAGCAACAGAAATAACTTTAAAGATCCAGCAGAAGTAAAACTAAGCTAATTTTGCATTCACTTTCTGCTTCTGCTTTCTTGGCATCTTGCCACTAACCTGTTACAGCAAAGAGCCAAGCCGCTGGAAGTCATGAGGATTTCTTGCAAATGCTTATCCTAATGTCAAGTGACAATAATGATTCATATATACCTCAGCAACTACTTTCAAACCTTATGCCATGATTTCTTAGGACACAGAGAAGAAAAATATTGAAAGGAACTACTTTAAAGACTATGTTACCAAGGATGAAATTTTCACAACAGCTAAATCTCAGAGGTGGCCTACACATTCACCAGTAGATGAATGGATAAAGAAAATGGAGTACTACTCTGCCATAAAGAAGGCTAACTTGAGTTGTCTGCAGGAAAATGAGTGCATCTTGTGAATGTAATGGTAAGTGAAATAAATCAGATTCACAAGTTTAACTATCACATGGTTCCTTACGTGAGAAACCCAAGATATAAATAAGCACAATACAACAGGAAACAGGGAGACACCTTGTGTAAAAAAGAAGGGGACCAAGAGATGGAGAAAGGGAAGAAGGCAGGAAGGAGAAGAATTAAGATGAGGCCAGGTAATGTGATGCACGTCTGTAATCCCAGCACCTGGAAGGCTGAGGCAAGAGGATTTCCCAAAATTCTAGGCCAGCCTGGGCTACATAGTGAGTTCAAGCCAACCTGAACTACACAGCAAGATCTTGTCTCAGAAAACAAAAGAAAGGGAAAAAGAAAAAAATATGTTTATACATAAAATAGTTAACACAGTTATACAACTAGTTTCTCTTAGTTCATTGAAAAGAAAGGTTTGAGCTAATATTGTTTGGACAAGATATCATGCCTATATCTTGTACTCAGTGACTACTACAAAGACAATACCCAATGTACATAATTAACTCTCTGATTAACCTGTTTTAAAACTGTTTCATTGGGGGGCTGGGGATTTAGCTCAGCGGCAAAGCGCCTGTCTGGCAAGCGCAAGGTCGTGAGTTCGGTTCCCGGTACCGGAGAAAAACCAAAAAAAAAACTGTTTCATTGTTTTTAATTTTTTCTCTTTAAAATTAAAAAAAAAAAAAAAAACAAGCAAACGAACAAAAAATGAATACCTTCTGGGACCCAGCTCTATAATTCGTAGACTCATGGCAACCACACTTCTCCTTTTTCTCTAGTATCCGATTTAATGAACACTTCATTGCCTGGGTTTTTTTTTTTTTAAAGCATCAACTCAAAAATAAAAATAAGATGTTATTTCAAAACAGCTATGCTTCCTTTTTAACGAACTCTAGATCTCAGATGTTTGACCAATGCTGACACCTCAGAACCCTAAATGACGAGGGGACCACGTCGCTCAGTTAACACCTCACTTGGATTGCTGTGTGCTAAGGTACTAGTTCTTTTTTTTAAGAAAAAAATTGCTTTTTTTCCAGTACCGGGAATCAAACTCACAACCTTGCGCTTGTGCCACTGAGCTAAATCCCCAAGGTACTAGTTCTTAACTTGTGTATTTTACAATCCAGGAGAGTATGTCACTTAATAGGTGGGGTCTGAGGCCTTCTGCATTCATCCTAAATGAAAACTGGTCTTTTTTTTGTTGTTTTTGCGGCATTGAGGACAGAACCCAGGGCCTTCACACTGAGCTACATCCCCAGCCTTTTCATTAAGAGACAAGGTCTCACTTGGTAAATTGCCCAGGCCGGGTATAAACTTGTGAAACTCTTGATTCAGCCTCCTAGAGTGTTAGGATTACAGGGATGTGCTACCACACCCAGCTGAGAATTCGTTAATACATTTTTGGTGTGGTAAACATGAATAATACATTAACAAAAAACCCAGGGAACTTGTATGTTTGTAAAAATTCCCCCAGTCCTTTATATTCCTGTTTCCCTTCCCCTTCCTTAGTACAGTATTGGGAGTTAGAAGAAAGCTTCAACAGAGTAGGAAAAGCCAACCATGCACTCACAGGCGGAGAAAGGAGGACTCCAAGTCTGAGTCCAGTCTGGACAACTTAAAGAGACTTAGTGAGATACTGTCTCAAAATTTAAAAAACAAAATGGGCAGCTCAGGGCAAATGCCGTGGTTTCAACCCCCAGTGATGGGGTTGAAGTAACTCTTAACTGTTATAAAATACAAAAACTTAGCACAAAAGGGCGAAATGAAGTTTGCAGTAGACATTCACCAGTCCTTTGTCCAATTCACAGCTGACATACCCTGTCTTCTTCCCCCACTTCATGGATCCATTTCCCTTAACAGAAGCTAAAATTTTTTCCCTCACACTTATACCTAAGTATGTTGTCTAGGATCAGTCAAAACCTCGCAACCGAAGCTAAGGCCTGAACCCGTCAGAGGACACAGCTCTTCCGCTCTCCACTGCGGCCCCGTGGCAGAGCACTGGTAGAGCCCTTCTGCACTTGGCAGTAGCAACCACGTAATGCACAATGTGGGGCAGGCCACAGAGTGCAGTGACATCTCCACTATGAGCGTTCCAAACCTTGTTACTAGCTGTCTCTTTGGCGCTCTTTACAGGAGTGTGAGGTACTTAGCAACTCAACAAAATAGATGCACCTTGAGACCATAATGTTAAGTTAAATTAATCAGACACCCAAGCTTAAATATTACATGGTTTCTCTTATATGAGAAGCCTAGAGCATAAGTAAAGAACAAGGTAAAAGACAATAGGCAGTAGGGAGAGACCTTTTCCAAATGGGAAGGGGATTGGTATGGTCTGTCTAGATGTCCCCCCAAAGCCTCACAGTCATAGGCAGAACTTTTCAGGGGTGATTGAATGTGAAGTGTGTGATGGTGACATCAAAGATGTGTGATTACTAAATTAGCCCACCAAATGGTTTGGCACAGTTCTGGGTAGGATTAAGGGTCCCCTACCTTGGGTTTGAGCACTACCTACCCTAAGGGTGGATAGCCTGGATATGATGCAAGGGACAGAAAGAGGGCTGCTGCTTCCTCACTACTTTGCTGCCTTCTGCCACCTTCAATTGTTTTTCCTCTGTGATGCCCCTCTACCAGGCCACCCTGCCTTGGAGCCAGCCAACTATGGACTAAAACCTCTACAAACTGTAGCCAAAACAAATCTTTCCTTCTTTAACTTTGGGTGTCAGGTATTTTGTCTCAGCAACACAGGGATGAAAAAAGAATTAAGATGTTTTATAGGGAGGCACCAAGATGATGGAGTTCTAAGCAGGAGAGAAAGAGCCTCTCTGAGAGTTGATGTCCAGATACTGGAATATAGCAATGTAAGGAAGACAAAAGGGAAGGAAGTGGGTCCCCTAGACCCAGGAAAGATCTGAGGCTTAAATTGAAGCCCACAGAGAAAGTGAAGAAGGAAACTTTAATGAAAAGCAAGGAGGCAGCCAGTGGCCCCTTCTCCCTGAGATGGAACTCACTGTGTGAGA